TATTATACGAGCTTGTCGCGCAAAACCTGCTCTCCAAAATGTACTGTGTGAGTATTTTTTATCATTGGACAATACTTCTGAGTATTTGTTTTTCCTAAATCGTCATTTTTGGAAAAATCGTTTTTTTTACCAAAAGCGTTTTATGTGAGCACTGGCTCTTGGAAAAATGCGTATAGCTTACCTTGGGTAAAAGCTACAGCTTAGTTCAATATCACATTTTTATAAAGAATTGTTTGCTCTACGAAACTTCCGAATTCGAGAATTTTTAACATCTTCTCAAAGGAATTTGTGTGGATTAGCAAAACCTGTTTCTTCGCAGTTCAAACTAACTGTTTAAGCCTTTCAAAGGTTTCCTCACTTCTCTCGAACAAAATAGACACAACATGTTTAGACCCATATCCAAAAAGAGCGCAACATTCTGGTCCTAACCCATAGTTTTGACTCATCTGAAAATGCTTTCAAGCAAGCAAAAACAAATAAATATTTTGATCAGAAACTTCGACCCAAACGTTCCGTCTAAATTAATTTGTTAGGCTTTCCAAAGATTATTTCACTACTCTCGAGCAGAAATCGACATAGATTTTCTAAGTCCATATTCAGAAAGAGCACAAAGTTCTGATTCTAACGCATAGATTTTGGCTCGTCGGAGATACTTTCAGGCGGGTCAAAAATGAACAAACATTTTGCCCAAATGATTTTTGATCACCCGTTATTTTAATTGTTTTGATGAAGTTTTTTTATGAAAAGTTTGTGATGTTATATTTTTTTTTCTCACTTTTTCCCAAGCAAGCAGACATGTCGATTTTTGTACTGAGTTTCGGTACAAACGGAACAAACTTTCAGATTTTTGGACTATCTAAATTTAACACCAACTTTCTCATGAAATCTCAATTTTTTATGCACTTTTTTAGCTAAATTTCAAGGTTTTGAGCTATTTTTACGCTTTTTTTAATTTTGTTAAAAGTATTTTGCAGAAAATTTGACTCAAAACCTAAAATTTAGCTGAAAACGTACATGAAAAATTGAGATTTCGTGCGAAAATCGGTTATAAATTTAGATAGTTCAAAAATCTGAAAGTTTGTTCCTTTTGTACAGAAAATTTGTACAAAATCGACATGCTTGTCTGCACGGGTTTTCCTTTCTCAACATTCGCAACAAAATAGACCATTTTATAAGCATTTTTGAAAAAATCAATCAACTTACTGTTAGTTAATATTATTCAATTCACAGTGAAAATATTCAACACAACGTTCTGAAACATTTTCAGGTATTATTCTCAGGTAATAATCACTTCATACAGAAAAACTAGCTCATTGGCTTAAGCGAGATAAACCATTCATGATAGCTCCAGTATGAAATGATTAAAATTTCTTTACAATTCCAAAAAATCATTACCCATGTAGCTGGTGACCCAAATAACGCATTTTAATGCATTATTTTATAAATAACGCATTTTAATGCATGAAATAGATTGCATTATCATGTAATTACATCCATTATTTGGGTGACCGGATACATGGGTATTTGGCTACTGGTCAGTCTGGTACAGGCAACAAAGAGTAATAAAATCTATGGTTATTGAAAACTTTTGAAGATTCACAATGTGCTTTAAAATCTTTTGTAATCCTAAAAACCATTATTCCAGCCTTATAAATGAATCGATGTAGAATATTGTGCCTTACTGAGATCAGTGATAATGTGTGTCTTGATTATAAAACAAGGCCCAGTTACTAAATGAATATTACCAAAAGCTTGTTCTCTATCAAATGCCTTACTAGAAGTATTATTTTTGAAAGTTCGATTCAGCATATATATGTTGTTATAAAAGGAATAATATACATGGCTATCTTTATCAACGAGTCTGGAAGCTTTTATCCCAATTCATAAAAATGTAATCTGAAGTTAATTATCGAATTTTTGAAGTCGAAGAGAAATACTAATTTCATATTAAAACCACCTTAAATGGTTGGTCTCTTTTGTGTCAATAAGCTAGTTTTTCTCTGTGAAACGATTATTACCTAAGAATAATAGGTGGAAAAGTTTCAGAACGTTACGTTGAATATTTCTACTGTGAATTAGATGACATTAAGTAAGAGTAAGTTGGTTAATTTTTCCAAAAATAGTTATAAAATAGCCTATTTTGTTATGATTGTTGAGAATAAAAGATGACTAACTGCTTTTATTACATAGTTTTGTGCAATAGAATTCAAGTATGTTGTTTTTGAAATGAAGTATTTAAGCTCAACAATGAATTTAAGTTCAAAGAAAAGTAGTATCTACAAAAAAATAATAGCAAGCTTACTTTTTTCGATTTTGTTGGATTATCGAACGAAATACTGCTTTCGGTTTCACCAGGTTTTGCTAAAAAACGAGACGATCGTCGTGTATGGTTGCTAGTTTTTTAATGGAGAAAACAAGTAATCTTCATTCGTTAGAATTCATAAAAGACTTACAGGTTATTTGTTGTTTTAGCTGATAATTCATCATCTTCATCGCTATCAGATTTGACTTGAGACTTTTGTTGTCGGATGTAACTAATTATCAATATGCAAAAATACATACATCAAATACAAGAGCTAGCATAGAAACTTACGTTGTTTTGTTTGTTACTGATACTGAATTATCATCTTCATTGTCATCGGATTCAATACGAGATTTTTGTTGTGGATTGTAACTAATATCAACAGACAAAAAAAAATACTTAAAACATGACAACTAATACAGAAATTTACATGTCTGCTGCTGATGGTAAATCAATGCTACTGTTGCTGTTGATATCTACAGATTTATTAGAATTGTGAATAAACGAAGCTTCATTATCTTCGTGTAAAACTTGATCACCTAAATCCATTTCGTTTGAAGCTGGTAAACTATCAATATCTTGATTTGTATTGTTTATAACCAACCTTGATTTATCATAAGTATATTTGAAATGTTTTGCAAGATTCGAAATTTGAAATCCGTTGTTTCGATAGAATAATTTAACACGATCCCCACATATACATTGTATGGAACAAGTTGGTGCAGCAGTGTCACTAATTGTTGTAATGTTGATTTTAAAATTATTAATTGAGATATTTTCATGTATAATACCATGCACATTATTTTTCACATTTGTTAGCAAATTCGTAATACTTCGCTTCACAATCGTATAATATTCTTTGGAATTGGTTTCATCTCCATTTGTATCACTGATTGTTGATGATGATGATGATCGATGTTTATCAACTAGATTTGATGCTATTTTAGATGATAATCGATTTTTTCTTTTGGAATTTATAATGTCTCGAGTAGATTTCAATAATAAAACAATTTTTCCTTTAGTTCCAACTTTTAAAGTAAATTTTCCTTCCAATACATGGCAAATTTCCTTTTTTAAACAAATAATCTCATCTGAAGAATATTGATCGTTTGGTTGTTCAAATATATCAAGAATTTCATGTTCATCAGCTCCAGCCAAAATCAAATAACTATCGATATCGTGATATTTGAGAATTTTTTCAACATTTTTGCCGTATTGCTCTTCAATACTTTTATAAAAATCTTCACCTGTAAGATTCCAAAGCTCTTCGATTTGATCAGAAAGCATGAAAATTTTAATAGTTTCTAAATGACAAAATAAACTACGAAGGAGAGTAATGAATCTGAAAGTTGAATACAGTTTTAATTAAACTAAATTTTCATGATTTATCTCCTCATTTTTCACATGCCAATTTCAAACGATCGATCAAATAGAAAATCAACTTGTGTTAGCGCCATTTGAAAATCTGTGAAAATGTGCTTCAACAAATAATAGAAATATACAACGATCAAACAATTTAATTGCTTCCTTTTGTCACATCATCATACCAATATATCAAAATATTTTGCATTATAGTATTAATCCAGAAAAACCATAAACAACGTGTCACATTTCCCTCAGAGATAAATATATAAGAAACTTGTCTATGAGATTCATGAAGTATTAAATAAATTATGAAAGTGACTTTAATATTATTTTATTTAACATAGCCGATTTTTCTGCATGCATTGCTTTCAGTTATTGAAGTTATAGGAAATAAAAAAGCGAGACTTTACTTACTTCTAGCAAAGTTCAAAGTACTAGTGAAGTTCAACTAAAGAAGACACTCTTTATATGTCGCTTTATCTTCTTGAGTTATACAAGGTTGTACTTTACTTGTACTCCAATTGTACTCCAATCGTACTCCAATTGTACTCCAATGGTACTCCAATGGTACTTCAATGGTACTCCAATGGTACTCCAATTGTACTCCAATGGTACTCCAATGGTACTCCAATTGTACTCCAATTGTACTCCAATGGTACTCCAATTGTACTCCAATGGTACTCCAATTGTACTCCAATGGTACTCCAATGGTACTCCAATGGTACTCCAATTGTACTCCAACTTTTTTTTTGGAGTACATGGAGTCGCGCTTTTTCCCCCTTGCCCACACCCCACTCACACCCACACCCCACCCACACCCACATCCATTCAGACCCCTCTCACCCTCACCATCATCTGTGACCCCCTCGTATTCTAATTTTTTATATTTCTCCAAGTTTTGCGGTCTGTTAAGATAATATTCCAATTTGGTCTAGACGAAATTAGAATTCCAACTTCGTCTGGACGAATTTAGAATTGGGCTGAATTCTAACTTCGGCCATAACATATTTATATATATACGTGCGTGCGACTAGA